GTGGCAGCAGTAGCAGTAGTAGTAGTAATAGTAGTAAAGGCGGTGTGGTGGGGGTGTAGTAGTAGTAGTAGTAGTAGTAGTAGTAGTAGTAGTAGTAGTAGTAGGTAATAGTAGTAATAGTAGTAGTAGTAGTAGTATGTGGTATAGGTGTAGTAGTAGGGTGGTAGGTAGTGGGGGTGTGGTGGGTGGGGTGGTGGGTGGTGGTGGTGGTAGTAAGTAATAGTAGTAGTAATGGTAGTGGTGGTAGAGGTAGTCATGGTAGTATTAGTATTGATGGTAGTGGTAGTAGTAATAATAGTAGTAATGTAGTAGTGGTAGTTGTAATTAGTCATGGTAGTAGCAGTAGTGATGGTAGTGGTTGTAGTAGTAGTGGTGGCGGCAACGTTGGTGCTACTACTATAGAGACACAGAAAAACACTTACAAGCAGAAAGACAGGCACAGACCCAAACACAACACACATGCATACATAAACACACACACACACACACACACATCCTTTTCTTACACCTGTGAAAAGTTTTTCACTCTCCTGTGTTTTACCCTTTTCTCCCATCATAAGCCTATAAGTAGACAGTTTCCACAAAAAAATATTTTCTTTTGGTGAGCAGAAAATATTGCAGTATAACCATACAATCTGATTTAATACTGCATCATACTCCTATACTGCTGGCTCAGTGCATGTAATTCAGAAATATCAGAAGCTATCCTATTATACTGTAAATCTTAATATATATATGGTTGACCAAAAAAGTTGGAGGCTTTTCCATTAATTATAATAGAAAAAAAAAGTAAGACTGTAAGTGCTAATCTTAAAAGATGGACTGGCTAAATCAATCATGTAAAATAGCTGACTGTACGACTGAACTAGCAAATATGCTATGGGCCACATATAGGAATGTGCAGCCACTGGCCACAGGCCACGTGTTTGCCTTAACATTCTAGCAATATAGAGCTTGTAAACCTTTCCACAAGCCAAATGTTTGCCTTAACATTCCAGTAATATAGTTTCTGGTGATTTATCATCAAATAATGCACTTATCCAAATACTATGTTGCAAGATATATAAAGGCCTAATGGAGGCCTTGTTAATTGGATGTGGTCTTATGCTAAAGAATGAACGTTTTATTAAGTACGGATTATTTTGTCATTGGGCATAAGTTTAAGCAAGAGCCCTAATAATGACTTATGCTTAGGCTATCCTGGAAGATTTATGCAAAATAGATTTCATTTATTGGTCAACATGTCTTGATATGCAATGTAAGATGTCCTTTGCTAACTGGTGGAATATTAAGTTGTTGTCCCAAAAGAATTCAAGCCACAAATCTTTGCTACAATATATGTAACGAACATCCTTTTATTTATTTATTTTTTACTTATACTTCCTACATTCTTTCAAATGTACAACATAACAGAGCAACAGTTCAGTGACATAACCAGAGCACAACACGATAAAGTATTCTATCAAAGTACATGCTTTACAATAACTCCCGTGACATCAAATATAACAACAGCCCTAATACAGAGGCGAATCCTCGGAAAAAGGTGACGTGCCATCATCCAACCTCCTGTTCTTCACCAGGAATGTGACCCATGTCATTTTAGATTATCCATTTGCCTCATATTCAGTAGCTAAGAAGTTGTTGTATACCTGAAGAGGCTTAACAAATACATATTTTAAGGTGAAGTTATTGTAATACATTTCAACTACATGACAGGCCTGGATCTAGAACAAAAAATGTATTGCCTCTTTCATGGATGACACTAAACATCAGGTAACATTAACATGCAACAAGTTTTTCTTTTAATGTGTAATAACTTTTAATTTATTAATTTCTTGACTCCTGCTCGTTCAAGTTCTCGACAAAAAGAGAAAAAGTTTATATTGTTATTATTTCTCTTTCCTGATCTTTACGAAATATAAAAACCTCTTATCCATGAAAAAGATTAATAACACCAAATCTAATTATCATACATATTCACATCTGAAAATTTACTTTAATCCACAATATTAAAACAAACTTTTTTTTCTCGTAGGAACAATAACAAAATGACTTTGAGAAAATTTAAAGTGAAAATCCTTCGAAAATGTCAATATTCTCCCATAAACCGTTTAAATTTCTTACCTAAAACTAGACGACCGAGTTCTGAAGGTAATAACGACGACATTTTGTTAATCCTATTATTAATATCACTACAATTTTCGTTAATAAATACACAAACACTATTTGTTTACAACGACATCCTCCCGCGAACCTACTCCTCCACTCAACTGTATACACTAAAGTCTTTTAAAAAACCCATATTTGAAAATCACTTGCAAACGGACAGTACCAAATATACCTAGATTAAGTATGATATTTTTGATGATCCTTTAAACAATATTCAAGGTTGTTTTATAATTTTCGAAGTTTAATGTTGCGATTTATTTTCGTATTTAAATGCTGCTGACGGACATTGTTGGAACTCCCGCGCTTTTATTCTAGAATTGGTCGAGCGTTC